TGGAGGGCACTAAAAATAAATGGCTTTGCTGAGAACTGAATCTATTTCTTAAAGAGATGGCTCCCCTCCTTTCTGACTGTGCAGAGGGAAGCCTGCCTTTGCACACCTTGTCACCAGTGTCACCCAGCCAGGGGAACAGGCTCAGTGTCATTGTGGGGGCTTGGCTTCAAGGAGAAAATGAGCACCAGAAGAAGTAAAATTCTTAAAAAGTTCCAACTGGCCACCTGCAGCTTCTATCTTCAGATATTTATTTAGTTATAAAGAATTGCGGAAAGCACCCAAGGTCCCGAGCGAGGGTCCCAAGGATGCCCTGTAAGCACTGTCTGGGGGATGCTGAGGGGCTCCTTCCAGACCAGGAGGACCAGGATCTCCTCCTGACATGCAGCCATCTGTCCAGCACAGCCAGAATTTTTATTTTCTGGTTGAAATATCCTGGATGTAATTCACTTGGTGTCAAGCTGCTCCCTCTCTGGGTCTGCTCCAGCCAGCAGGGGCATCCCCCAGCCAGCAGAGAGGGTTTAGCCTCAGCAAGGGCACCTCGTGCTTATTCTTAGCCTTGTTTCTAAGAAGTGCTTTATAAGCAGGAGCCTGTGTTGATTAATGCCATGAAACATTAATGACTTAGGAGGTGAGCTACAGTCCTCCCACAGAGCAGCTCCCCATCCCCAGCAGCCAGAGAGGCACAGGATGGGCCCAGAACTGTTCTGCTTAGGCAAGGCACAGGCATTAAAGCCAAACCCAAGCTGTTCCTGAAGCCAGCTGAAAAATATGACAAAGATAAAAGGTAGGTGAAAGGGAGAAGGAGGCTGAGGTTTGGTTAGATGGTGTGCACTGAAGTCCGAGATAAGAAATTTGGAAGGGCGGAAGAGTCACCCTCCCAAAGGCTGCCACATCTCACCTGGCACTGCCCTGGCTGCCAGCACAGCAGAGGCTTTGTCTGCCCGAATGCAGCAGGTTGAAAAAGGTGTTGCTTTTGCCATTTGCTTGATGCAGAGGAGATTTGCATGGGGGACAGGGGCAGAGCTGAGCCAGGCATGCAGCACTCCCAGCTGGAGCAGCCAGATCCTCGGCTGTGCACAGGCTCCGGGCTGCCCAAAGCCAGCCCAGCTGGCTCGAGGGGCTCGGCCAAGGTGCTGAGCTGCAGAGACACCACCACCAGCCGGGGCAGCATCCCAGAGCGCTGGATTTTGGCAGCGATCCTTGGAACACCCCGGCCCAGCTCCTGCTCTCCACCCAGTTCCACGCAACCCTATCGCCAGGATCAGAGCCTCAGGGGTGAATTAATGCAACCAGGGAGCTTTAAAATGAGTATTAAATTTCTCAGGAGCATGCTAAGACTTAATTAAAACTCCTGTCATTGTGTGAAATGGCAGCGTAGGAATGTAGGAATGCAGGGGGCTCGTTCCTGCTTTGCAAAGCATTTCATGTCGGCTTGGCAAAGCCCAGAAATCCCCTCACCTCCTCGAGGAGGAGCAAAATTAGAATAATGAGCTGGTTTATAATTAATTGTGCTCTGGGGACACGTTCTCACGCTGTCTGATGCTTCTGCTGGGAATTTTCTACAGGGAGCATCCCAACAGACAATAGGTTTCAGGTATCAGGTGTGCTCTCGCCTGCATTCCTAGACCAGGTTATCAGGTTGCTCCAAGGGAGAGTAGGAGGAGTTACATTTTTTTTCTGGCATTCGGGGGGATTTTTTTAGCTGTCTTACAGATGTAGGTTAAATATTTGCTCAGGGCAGAACAAACACCCAATACAAAGGGCCCCACTCGGTGATGTGTTTCGATCGCTGGAGCTTCCCTCCATCCAAGTAAAAGGCAAATTAACCTGCCTGGCTTCACCGCGCCACGGCAGCGATGCTTTTCAGCTACAGGGGGCTAAAAGCAGAGCTAAACCCGAGCCGAGGTCACTGTCCCCGGGCAGGGCCGTGCTGTCCGGGCAGGGCAGATGTTTCAGCCCTGGTGGTCACGGATGTTTTAGCCCCGGTGGTCACAGATGTTTTAGCCCTGGTGGTCACGGATGTTTTAGCCCTGGTGGTCGGGGATGTTTTAGCCCCGATGGTCACGGATGTTTCAGCCTCCCTTTACCTGCTGGCTGCTGGCAGGAGGTGCTGCTGTTGGCTAGCCCCGCTCCTCGGTGCCTTCCTCTGCTGCCTGCAAAGCGGCATTTCTAAAAATACCTCCGGCGAGGCGATGTCGTCAGCCGGTGCTCGCTCAGGTCACGGAGACGTGACAGCCATGGGAAGGAGGATGGGAGAGCATCGCTGGGGACCAGGCTGAGCTCATCCCAGCCAGCGTGGGTGAATCCCTGCAGATAGAGGGGCACGGGCAGGGTACCTGCTGCCCGCAGCCCCCCAGAATGTCCAGCAGCAAGTGAGCATCCCCTGGGATCCACAGGGCTGCCTTGAGACAAACAGGGCAGGGAAAGGGAGCTGGTGGCTGGCCAGAGTGTGCAGGCAGAGTATCCCCACTGCTGGATGCCTGGAGAGGCTGCTCCTGGTGTGCTGGGCCTGCCACACTGTCCTTGCCAAAACCAGCCCAGCAGCTGGGAGGGGTGGGTTCTGTAGAGCTCACAGGTGACTGTTTGAATAGGGCTGCTGGCACAGAACCCTTCCTGCAGCTCAGCTTTTGTTCCATGCTTATTCATTGAGTTATTCTTCTAAACTGGGGAATTCATGCATGTGCCTGCTTAATGTAGACTTACTTGATGTAATTGATACAACTTATGTGCTTTGCATAATTGCAATACCATTAAAAAACCTGAAGCATTCAAAAGCCAGGAAATTACTTCCCAGTTAAAGTAAATTACATAAACATTTATTTTACTCTTTACAGCTCATAAATGAAGTCAGCCATGATATGGCTTTACAGTTGCTATCGGAAAGGGGAAAGTAACTTTCTGTGTGTCAATATTATCCCAAACCAGCCTCAGGAGCTGCACAGATAATGGGGCACTCATGCAAATCACTGCTTAGGGCCTCTGTGGGTAAATGTATGTAGATATGGCTGTGTGTCCATAGGCACACACACCTCTATCCATCCATGCCAGGATCCATGCTGGGAATGCCAATAAACCTCTGATGAAGGGGGGGAGGCTGGGAGGATTTCACTGGCTGCAGGGGAATGGCAAATGCAGTGCAGAGCTGGAGGCAGCTGCCAGGCCAGGATGGCATTGGCTTCTCAGGGGTGAGTTTCTGTGCCAGGGCCATGGGGACACAGTGGGGACACAGAGGTGACCCTTCACAGCTCCCTTTCTCTGGGGTGAGTGCCCAGAGCAGCCTGTCCCCCCCAGAGCAGCGGCTCCCTGTCACCCCTCACTCACCACGTGGCTGGCTGGGGACAGGGAGTGGAGCTGGGTCTCCTTGGGGGTCTCTGAGGATGTCCAAGAGGGACAGGCCAGGATGAAAGGACTAGGCTGAATCCTGCTCCAAGCCTGGCCAGGAGTGAGCAAAAGCCTGGGACTGAGTGTGGTGAGATCAGAGGTGGAGAACACGTGGTCTGAGGGGAGCACAGCACAGGGCTGGCATCAAACCCTCCTTTCCCAAGGGACAGCACTCCTACATCCCCAAACCCACGTGGGACACAGGTCAGCTGCCATCAGGTGTGCGGATGTGAGCCATGGGCACAGGGCATCCGCTGCCACCACCAAGGATGCCAAGTTCAGCTCTGGTATGGGGAATATCCAGTACTGCCAGTTCATCACCCTGAGCAAGTCATGAGTGACTCGTGTCACCCAAACCAGCCATTACTGTGAGGGCTGCGTGTGCAATACAGGGAGGCAGATACAAATCACACCCTAAAAATGCATATATATTATATTTAAAGCAGGATCTGCTGCTGCCTTTCCGACACCAGGGCTTTTGTAGAGGTCTTGGCACACGAGGCTGTTTTCTCCATGCCTTTGGGTTGGAAAAGGGCTGTTTTCCATGTGATATCTGTGTCCCTGGGCCTGATGAGCCTGGGGTACCAGCTGTCAGCAGAGTGTGAGGAGGGCACAGTTTGGGCAGGCAGGTCCTTGGTGTGTAGGACAGCAGCACCACTGTCCCCACAGTCCCCCAGGGTCCCCGTGATGAG